CAGGGAATAACAGTACAGAAAGTTTTTGAAAAACTAAGGATGATGTCAGCAAATGATCAGGATATATTTATAAAACAGAAAACAGTGCCTTTAAGAGTAATAAGATTATTGAATTGAGTTTTGTTGTTATATTTGTAATGCTCTTAATTGTTATTAATATTTTCGGTTATTACTTGTGTTCAAAATTATTTATTATTTTATAAAATAAATCTTACAAATTATAATATATTAACTATATTTGATTGTGCATATTTATAAATTTATTTAATCATATTTATAATTTTAATCACTAAATTTTTATTATTAATCAATAATTAATTTTTAATTAAAACATTTTTAATAAATGTATAATTAATATAATAATTTACTTATTTTAAAATTATTTGTTCAGGTTAATTATCGTTGATATTACTTCTTGAAAATATTCATAAGACACTTCTGTAAATGTAGAAAAGTATATTATGTTAATACATACTGTAATACTAGTTTGTGTGTCAATATAACAAATAAAATTACATACATGATATATCTCCTGCTCAGTTTTGTTTTCCAACTTGTTAAGCTCTACTTGGAGGTCCCTAAAAGCTTGGTTATTCTTATACTCTTGTACACCACATTCTAAAAACATTTGATCGCAATATAGTGTCAACACCAGCTTGCGTTCATCATTAGCCAGGTCCACTTTGGTGTAGGCGCTCACATCGACTTTCTTAAAGCAATCCTTCAAATATTCTTTGAACTAAAAATATGAAAATTATTGAAATATGTATTCACTAAAAATGACAGTAAATATGTTAACAAACCTTGTTTTCAAACGCAATCTTTTCGGTTGATTTGGTTTCGTTGTGTTCGCATTCAATCACTTTATCCACAATAGATGTGTCCGTCTTATTGGGGACACACAGTAGTGATGGGAACTTCTCAAACTCCTGGTTATCATCACAAACACAATTGAGCAAGTAACTGCTCACGGCAAATACAATGCATACAAATAATTTGCTCATTTTAAAAATAAATTTCAAATATTCAAATAAAACAAATTTGCAGAATTTATAATTAATCAAGATATATTAATTTGTCTAAATAGTGTGGAATTTAAATAATCAAGTGAATGATACAGGTATTTTATACTTAGTAGACAATACTGGTATATAGAAATTTTATGTCACGAATTAATTGGGAAATCATTTAAATGTTTTATTTATACAGTTAAGCAAATAATTACACCATTAATTCTAAGTAATAAAACAGGATATTTAAATATGTCACTTATTTAAATTGTAATAATTGAAATAATCTATTTTATTTTATTTGTTCAGTTCATATGTCGTAATTTTGATCTAGATCCGTACTTAAAATTAATCATCACCTAAAAATGCTTTCTTTTATTATTTCAACATTAATTTGAAATAACATATACTATAGTGTGAATGAAATATAGATTGTATTTCATTGTAAACCAAATCCATAGCAAACGGATTCTTAGTGTTATCCAAATGATAAAGTCTTTGCCATTTGTGCCAAATCATAGACCAAACAGTCCTCCAGTATATGACATATAGTTTGTTAGAGACATAACCGGTTCCTCGCGATAGACATACAGGGGTTGTGTTGAGTCCCGAATAAATGACTTCTTGGTAAACGTGTCATAAATATTTGTTTAAAACTAATTTTATGTGCAATTTAATAGTAAAAATTCTAAATTACTTTTAAAATTATATATGTAAGATATTTATGTCAATCGTGTTTAATATGAATTAAGTGCTTAAACGTGTCATAAATATTTGTTTAAAACTAATTTTATGTGCAATTTAATAGTAAAAATTCTAAATTACTTTTAAAATTATATATGTAAGATATTTATGTCAATCGTGTTTAATATGAATTAAGTGCTTTTAAAGTGCATAATGACAAGCTAACATGATAAGTTAAAGTTAAACATAATGTATAAAATTAATTTATTTGAAGTATTTCTCAATTTTCAGAAAAATTAAAAGGTTTTGAAAAACGTGTCATAAATATTTGTTTAAAACTAATTTTATGTGCAATTTAATAGTAAAAATTCTAAATTACATTTAAAATTATATATGTAAGCTATTTATGTCAATCGTGTTTAATATGAATTAAGTGCTTCTAAAGTGCATAATGACAAGCTAACATGATAAGTTAAAGTTAAACATAATGTATACAATTAATTTATTTGAAGTATTTCTCAATTTTCAGAAAAACTAAAAGGTTTTGAAAATCATTTTCTCATTCAAGTATTCATTAATGAATTTCAACACATTAGGGTGCGTACAGTTGCACCGGTAGGTATTATTTGATTACGTTGAAAAACTTGTTTTAAACAGAATTTGCTAAAAATGATTGCATCGAGACCTTGAAGTTATAGGTAAATAATACATTGTAAATTATAATTTAATTTTATCATGCATTGAATATTAACTTAATAATATTTTCATTGATTCGCATTAAATGTAATAATAGTATATAAAGCATGAGTTTCTCATGAATAAAATTTATAGAGAAGTGTGTGTTACATAACATTCAATATTTTTATCTAACAATTTTTACTTAAAAGTTATTAAGAATTTTGATTTTAAAATATCATTAATTCAATGATTTTCATACTTTCACTGATATTATGGTTGACTTTAAGCCAAAGTTATGCCAAAGAGATGAGTGTTTCGATGGAGAAGGGAGTGATTGTCGGCAACACTCGGCCCACAGTTGACGGCAAACAAGTGAACGAATTTCTGGGCATTCCTTACGCCAAACCACCCAAAGGTGACCTCAGGTTCCGGAAACCCGTTCCCAC